GGTGTGTAGGTCCCGCGCCGAATTGGATTACCGTAATGTCCTTAATTGTGATCTTACACGCTTCTTCAGGGTTTTGCTTCTCCGATCAAACCGGCACCGTTTTACACCACTCCCACTGATGCCATGTATTATACGAATAATTTCAAGGATTACGGTATGTTTTTGTGCGACTACTTTCTTGCCTTTAACTATAGTTAGCATTTATCAACAGTGAATTTGAACTTTTTTTCAATAGTGTTCTTGTATGAGATTATTTTGCCTCCTTGAGAGCACCTTAACTACATTTATTACACTGATCATGAGTGGTTACGTGGCCACTAGAGGCCGAGGGGAGCCAAAAAGCCCTCATATAATGCCACCTAGGCCACTGTCTCTAGGCAGTGGAATACGAACAGAAGTTTCGAAATGGGGCTAAGCTTCTCTGTGCTGGTTTGGCCCGTTTCTGAGGAGTTCTGTACCGGGGTAAATTTTGGTACTCTGGTTCACTGCATAATTGGAGGAGGTCCACCGAAAAGCTTTTCCAGACCGCTTGGCGGCGATCTGTAATTTAGTAACAGTCTAGACTGGGCTGAAAATCTTGCCTATTTTCTAGCTGTAAGGCCAAATCCAATTTAGGTCATTTATGGGCCCTACAGGTTCAAACTTAATTAAACCACTGCTTCTGCCTACTTAAAGTATAGCCCTACCCCTTTGGGCCTTCCAACTTCATTTTAAGACCTTTCCAGGCTACTTCTTCATACTGGGACTATCTCGAAATCTGGTTTAGGCTAATATTTGGAAAATCACTGAAAAACCTCCTTCTAAGCCCTTGAGTCAGCTTATTGATCGCTGAAGAGTCACCTTCGGAATTGAGCTGGGTTTCGAAACCCGTCCGAAACCCCTCAGAAACTCGCATCTTTCGCAACCTGAAAATCCTTCTGTTCTCCCTAGACATAGAGAGTGAAGCCAAGTTCCGTAACTTCTAGTGTTATTCATACATTGTGGAATCAGTACAGATTAAATCCCATCTTTTGAAAGGCGCTTGTAGTGACTCTGAATCTACCTAGGCATTGATTATTCGGGTCATTCACCTGCCACTTAAGCAATGTCTAAACCTAGAAGGTCTTGGATTTCTTCATCCTGGGGTAGCTCCACCCTGAACAGGGTTTTTCCAACCTGAGATGATCCTGCTCCAAAGATGCACCTTTTTCTCCAGAAACTCCGATGAGTTTTGGGAAAAACTATCTGGATTCAAGGGGGATGTGAGGGCTCCTAGGTCATGAGCCCGGCTCGGATTCACCCCTTTTGAACCCGTTAAACCTCATTACCCCATAGGCTATGCTATGCTGTTGTACCATATGGAAACGGGAGCGATTCGTTGCGGTTCATTGACTTCGACGGCCCCCCGCTGATGTTAGCTGGGCAGCGGCTGTGAGTGGAGGAGCCCAGGGGTATTTCGCATCATGCGCATTGATTACCCTGAGGGGAAATGAATGAAGGGGGCAAACACACACTGCTAGTGCCATACATCATGAATCAGCCCTAAACTGACTTTCGTGCTGTTCTTCAAGAATATTACGGTCGTTTTTCAGCCGGGTACATTATCAATCCG